CAGTGCTTTTCAGCTCTTTGCCAAGTAAATTCATCAAGATCAGGTAACTCAATCCCTAAAGATGAGAAAAGAGAACAGTTTCAATATCTGTATCCTCACCATGTGGGTTTCGGGGACCCACTGTCGGTAAAGCAAGAATGGATCCACTGCCTTCCCAACAAGCATATCGCAGGAGTATACTAAGTGGGGATATCCTTCGAAATCTGAGTACATCTGCCTGGGAGGCAAGGAACCAAGAGTCTGCATAAAAATAAGCCAGATCAGGTTCTGAAACAAGACTAAAGTCTGAGGTGGATAAATACCCCAAACTTTTCACCACAGTTACAGTTGGTTAATGTGAAGAATAGAAATAATAACATCTGAATCCAGCATGCAGATTTTATAGGTGAGTGTTATAGTACATAATTATCAAATACAGTGGAACTCCACTATCAAATACAGTGGAACTCCACTATCAAATACAGTGGAACTCCACTATCAAATACAGTGGAACTCCACTATCAAATACAGTGGAACTCCAATACTCTACATTAATCCGTCTGTTCCTGAGGAAAAGACAAACATTAAAAAGAATTAATAGCAATAGGAATTTTTAAAAATCGTGTAATCCACTGGCAGTTCAAAATTTGGCCTATCTATTTTTTAACTCTCTGAGGCCTGAGCAACACTGTGAGTGTTAATTGAGAAGTTTCCATTTGCCCAAACAACACTGTCAGTGTCGATCGTGGATCCCGTATATATTGATTCACACACGGCTTCGTATGCGTTTTTAATGTTCGGAACTACCATTAAAGTATTGAGGGAAGGTTACTCTAATTTTTTTCTTTTTATAGTAGTCTTTATTCGCCCAGACATGGTCGCAAACTGATCTCATTCACTGCTCGAAAAATTTCCAGACAGTGCATTTTGTAATTTTATGTTCAATGCCATAGATACCAATGTTCTAACCACAAGCAGAGGTTGCAAAATGCGTCTTTCTGTGGCCAAACCAGCCGCAGCTGAGCGATCAGCTGTTAGGGAATCTAGCAGTTCTGGTGAGTCCACACACAGAATGTTCCATTGCTACAGTATTTAGGGTGTAAGAGAAGTAAAGTGCTCCAAACAAATAAAAAATACAGTGACTAAGCTAGACTGAAATCATTGCAGCTACAGTCTGTATATAACACACCAATCTATTGTCATTACCAGAAATCAGAACACTTATCAAAGGAAAATACAAGGGATTGTGGAGAGAAGAAACTAACAGTAAACATCCACAAGACCCCATCAGCAAATTTAACAGAAAGCAAAATACAACAATTTTCCGTCTACGAACAGGACACTGCAGGCTCAACTACCAAAGGCATAAAATAAAGATTGTACAGTCCCCACAGTGTGCCTGTCAAACAGGACCACAAACACCTGAGCACATTCCGCAGACCTACCCACTCTATATTAGTTAGTTAGTTATTCCTCTTGTGCCAAAGATGGCGCATAGGGCAGAGGTCATAGCTTTCCACGTCTGTCGGTTCGTTGCCACTTGATGTAGGTCTTGAGTGCGACTGAGACCTATGGTTGAGCTCTCCCTTGTGATGGTTCTACGGAGAGTTTCTTTTGGTCTTCCCTGTTTTCTTTTACCCTCTGGTGACCATATGAAGGCTTGGTGGGGAAGTCTCTGTATGTCCATTCTGAGTACGTGACCGATGTAATTCCAGCGACGCATTCTAATAAAATCAGACACATATTTTTGTTTTGTTTCATGTCTTATAGATGTATTTGACCTAAAGTCCGACCAGTGAACATTCAATAGCTTTCGGAGGCATCTATTCTCGAAAGCGACTAGTTTCTTATCGATTGATACTGATGATTTCCAACTCTCACAACCATAAGTTAGCACTGGGATCACACAGGAATTGAAGACCTTAAGTTTCGTGTTGTTGCTGAGTGATCTTGACTTCCAAATGTTTGACAGTTTGTTAAAGGCACTTGATGCTAACGCGATTCGAGTCGTTATTTCTGATGTTGTATCTCCCGCAGAGGTTATCTTGCTCCCTAAGTATGTGAAGCTGGTGATTTTTTCAAGAACAATATCCTTTAGTTTGATGTCTTTCGACTCGTTGGTAAGATCGATGATTTTCGTTTTGGCTGCGTTGACCTGAAGGCCGATTTGGCTTGAAATATTCTGGAGGCGGTCCATTTTTTCCTGAGCTTCTAGATGTGTTGTGCTCAGGAGTGCTAGGTCGTCAGCAAAGTCAAGATCTTCGAGAACTTTGTCGACCCATTTGATGCCTAGATGTGTGTCCTGTGTGCATTTGCGCATGACCCAATCGAGTGCTATTCCGAAAAGCATCGGTGACAAGACACATCCTTGTTTCACGCCTGTTTCTACTGGGAACCAATCAGAGTTACCAGATTCCGTTCTAACAAGGCAGCGGGAATCGGTGTAGAAGGCCTTTCCACTCTATACACAACTTCGAAAAGACACCTGGCCTCAAGAATAAAGTGTGAAGATCAAGCTATGGGAAACCATGAAGGAACTGCTACCAACATGCGAGTTCATAGAGGCAACCCACCTGATGATCTGATCTGAGCATTCAAAACCGAACACAAAGAAGAAGAAGAAGAAGAAGAAGATGTTCAATTTACAACTACTTCATGAACTGCGTTCATCCGAAGTTGTAATTGCATTTTGCTGGTTTACAGCATGGCCGCTATATTTGCATCTTTCAGCCAATACATCTGATTTCTGCAGGCATTTGTTGACTAATTTAGCTTTCCAGGTAGTTACAGAAATATCTGTCCGGGTTTGAGTTAATTAGGTTTATACAAAAGCAATTTTTACATAGTTACCTTCTTTTCATCAGCATTGACACACAACAGGATGTTGTTTTCCTTTGTTGTTGCTATACTATATGGAGGAAAGTGAAATTTTTTGATGAAATGCATTTGCATAAGATCACTGCTGCGCTGAGGCAACTGGTTGCAATATTTCAAAGCATTGCTAGCTACACCTCGTTGGTTCCTTTTTGGACTTGAATATGAGGCTATGATCTCTCCACTGTGCAGCTGACTAATAAAGTAGTCCCCTGAAATGGTTAATGGCATCTCTTGAATAATACATAAAAGTAACAGTGAACAGAATTCAAGAAAATTAGTTGCTAAAGAATTAAAAAAAAAAAAACACTATATGCATGAATCCAATTGGTTAGTAAGTTAGTCGACAGATTATCCTCACTTCACATCGAACCATTCAGTCCATAAGTGCTCGGATCCTCTCCTCAATAAATCAAGCAGCGTGTAGCTGCGGTTAAAGACACCAGTTCTGTGTTAGTTGCTTATTCTTCTTTGTTTTCCTGCATAGTGCTCTATCTGGGTACACCCCTTTTAACAAGCTGTTCTTGCTGTCTGGTCATGGTTGCAGATTCACAGTCATCACTTGGTTTTTGCAAATGTCTTACTTCTCGTAGAGCATTAAGTATATGAACCCAATGATATACACCATAGCCACTTATTTTAATTATGTGATACAAAGCAGAATCAATAAATAAAATCCAATCATATACAAATGAAAACAAAAAATGTGTGTATATTTAAATTAAAATAAAATAAATTTTTTTTCACACCTTCAGGCGTATTGGGCATGTAGTGCCAGACCTATATTTTACTGAACAATTAGCATTCGGCAGGTGATGTGGTTAACATTACACTGGCCGTTTGTGCTACTTCCCCACCTAGGAGCCAAGGTCATAAAAAAAAGTAGCTCAGTTTGGATTTAAACCCATGACTTTTGAATCCACAGGCAAGTATCTAGCTGCTACACAGTGATGGTTCCTGTGTGTGTAAATTAAGGCTACATACAGAAAAGGCTTTACAAGCAGGGTGGCATGATATCAGGTATTGGGAGAACTAGGAGATGTTTGTGACCAGTGTTAGATTACTGTTTTGTTAGTTGACAACAGAACAGCAGGCAAATAATATGTAAGATAACAATTGCAAAAAAGAGATAAACACAGCCAGTGACTCAATCCTGATTGCCTGCATCAGTTTATGAACTAAGTCAATGACTCAAAATGTTAGTCAGTCAACTAAATCGCAGACTCAAGATACACTGCTTATATCAAAGTTAGTCAACTATTTCAGATAAACACTATACAAGAACTGCCTGTGATGGGTTTGGAATTGTTAGCTGCGTGTCCTTCGAGCTTCTGCTTCAAAAGAGGCTTGAGGCTCAGAGGAAAGGCAAGATGGACATTCAATCAGAAAGCTACTGGCACCATTAGCATCGGAACTCTTCGCTGGCTGCTGAAGATGAGGGCGGGGCGCTTATGGGAATGCCCCGAGTGCTGTGATGTCGGTTCTTGAACCAAATCAAATCAAATCAAGCTGCGTGTCCTTTACAGGACGTTGCAGACCCAAACTCAGCATTTTGTGATTTCACTAGGCAACTGGACATTTAGTTGTTTGCAACTGCTTCCTGAATGATTGGCTCTTGACACTGCCGTCAGAACCAACGTATGGCAGTCTTCTGCCAAACTGCCTGCAGGTGGGATCGCCATTATGAAATGCGTTCACAATGCCTAAGCCACAGACGCCGAGTTCTGAATACAAAAAAAATAACAATGAATTCCATTCATCAGTTGTTTCACATTCTGCAGTATCCACTGTTAATGTATCCTCCCGAAGTGAGTTCTGGGGACCCACTGTCAGGAAAACCAGAATAGACCTACTGCCTAACCAACAAGCCTGTTGTAGGAGTCAACTAATTAGGAGCTTCCTTACAAGTCAGAATATGTTGGCCTGAGCGGCAAGAAGCCAACAATCTGCATACAAATAAGTCAGATATCTAAAACAGATGTGCGTGCAACATGACTGGAATAAGACTAAAGTCTGGAGGTGGACGAACAACCAAAACTTTCCGTCAGAGTTTCAGCTGGTCAACGCAAAGAAGAAGAAGAAAGAAATATCATAGAAACTAGTTTACAAATGATATCATCATGGTCTGAGAAGAAAATACAATTTACCTGGCTCAGTATCATAGACCTTAGATTCTGCTCTGTTTTTTTGACTGTTGTAGTGATACTGTACAATGGAATCGTACTGTGAACGTCCTGTAAGGCTCTAGATAAGATCACAAATTCAAGTTTCGTAAAAATGAAAAGATTGTTTTCATATCTTCTAACAGAAGGTGAAACAATTATCATGAATGAGCAAGGGACAAGTACTTAGTATTGGGAAAGACAAAGCCAAGACATCTTGCCTCCTAAAATATTATTATGGTTACTGGCAAAAAAAAGTAAGATCCAGTGCTTTAAATAAATGTGGACCCACATTAATTTCCTAGATTTTTAAAACTGTATGGATTAACAATTGAAGAAATTCCTGATCACACTGTTAAGACAAATTGAGACATTTTGTTATCAAGGATAAATAATTCTGACCCAACAAGCACATAATCACTAGTAGTCATTGTGTTACATATATATCTGAACCTTGATTCCATATCTAACTCCTGATTCAATATCTGAACCCTGGTTCCATATCTAACTCCTGATTCCATATCTGAATCCTGATTTCTGTCTATGAAGTTATCTCAAAGAAAAAGTAATTTATTTGTTAGCCATTAATTTATTACAAGGGGTAGATGAAGTGTATGGGGTTTCATAGCAAAAATAAATAGATGTCGCCTAGTGCAGCAAAGCCTTGCATATGTTATCACGTCTAGTTTGAGAATGAAGGTGGAGGCAGTCTCTGCTGCCTTCCACTGGCTTGAAAATCAGCTGTACACACATGCCGTCTATGTAACTGACTCACAGAGCATGCTGAGAAAGGTGAAAACAGGCATGCTTTGTGCAGAGCGGCAAGCATATTTTTAGAGGTCTTGGGTAGTTAGCATCCTTTGCATATTTTCTCCAGGTTATGCCGATGTGTTGGGAAATGAGCAGGCAGATAGACTGGCTGGCTCTGCACCACTTGGTGGTGAATTGATGTATGACAAGTCAGATATTGTGAGGGCCCTTTGGGAACGAGTAAACAGTGCGGATGCGCAGATAGATCATTACGGTCTAAGGAAATGATAAGATGGATATACAATCAGATGGCTACCATATTGATATGGTACCATCGGAACAGGAACTCTTCACTTGCTGCTGAAGATGGGGAGTGAGCACTTATAGGAGTGTCCTGAGTGCTGTAATGTCGATTATTAATTCAACATAATTTATTACACCCAACAACAACAAAAATACCCCACTATATATTAATGGGCAATGATAATATAGAAAAAGTAGACTATATGTTACTGGCATGTTAGTCTATTCATGTGACATAAAGTCCTTGATTTAATTAACAGTATATAAGTTCAAGAAACAATAAGCATCAAATTACCTTGGTTGACAACAGACATGTTTCATTGTCTGTTAAAATAATGCTCTTAACAAAATAATCCCCATCAAACTTGAAAGAAAAAGCTAACTTCATTTGCTTCCATTCTGTACCCACTCTAGCTAAAGGTGGAGGTGGTGTCACTGAGTCTGCATCCACTTCAGGTAAAACAAGTCTGGAAAACCAAAAGTGTAAATTCACAAGAGTTAACAATTGTTAAGCTTTTACATCTTTTTTTTTTAATTAGAAAAAAAAAAAAAAAAAAACTATGTAAAGTAAAAACAAAACAATTGATTTGAATCTATCCACATAGAACATGCATAAAATGAAGATAAGTTTGTAGAGCACACTGTCATCATGAAGATAAGTTTGTAGAGCACACTGCCATCATGAAGATAAGTTTGTAGAGCACACTGCCATCATGAAGATAAGTTTGTAGAGCACACTGCCATCATGAAGATAAGTTTGTAGAGCACACTGTCATCATAAACATAAGTTTATAGAACACCCTTTCATCATGAAGATAAGTTTGTAGAACACACTGTCATCATGAAGATAAGTTTGTAGAGCACACTGCCATCATAAACATAAGTTTATAGAACACCCTGTCATCATTAAAATAAGTTTGCAGAACACACTGTCATCATGAAGATAAGTTTGTAGAATACACTGCCATCATGAAGATAAGTTTGTAGAATACACTGTCATCATGGAGATAAGTTTGTAGAATACACTGCCATCATGAAGATAAGTTTGTAGAATACACTGTCATCATGGAGATAAGTTTGTAGAATACACTGTCATCATGGAGATAAGTTTGTAGAATACACTGCCATCATGGAGATAAGTTTGTAGAATACACTGCCATCATGGAGATAAGCTTGTAGAATACACTGTCATCATGGAGATAAGATTGTAAAAAAGCACACTGCCATCATGAAGATAAGTTTGTAGAATACACTGTCATCATGAAGATAAGTTTGTAGAACACACTGTCATCATGAAGATAAATCTGTAGAACACACTGTCACCATGAAGATAAGTTTGTAGAGCACACTGCCATCATGAAGATAAGTTTGTAGAACACACTGTCATCATGAAGATAAGTTTGTAGAACACACTGTCATCATGAAGATAAGATTGTAAAAAAGCACACTGCCATCATGAAGATAAGTTTGTAGAATACACTGTCATCATGGAGATAAGTTTGTAGAATACACTGCCATCATGAAGATAAGTTTGTAGAATACACTGCCATCATGAAGATAAGCTTGTAGAATACACTGTCATCATGGAGATAAGCTTGTAGAACACACTATCATCATGAAGATAAGTTTGTAGAACACACTGTCAACTTGAAGATAAGATTGTGAAAAAGCACACTGCCATCATGAAGATAAGTTTGTAGAACACACTGTCATCATGGAGATAAGTTTGTAGAGCACACTGTTATCATGAAGATAAGTTTGTAGAACACACTTTTATTAAAAAGAAAGTTTGTAGAAAAAACTGTCATCATGAAGATAAGCTTGTAGAACACACTATCATCATAAAGATAAGTTTGTAAAAAAAAACTGTCATCATGAAGATAAGCTTGTAGAACACATTATCATCATGAAGATAAATTTGTAGAATACCCCGTCATCACAAACAGCTGAAAATTTTTTTATACAACAATTAGTGTATTAGGAGATAAACAGGCAGAGAGCCTGGCTTGCTCTGCACCACTGGGTGATGATGCATGACCATATAGATGTGGCCAAGGCCCTTTGGCAGCAAGTGAGCAATGCAAAAGTACAAATGGATCATTATGGCCTGAAAAGATGGCGAGCAGTAGGGAGTAACCAGAGGTTCTGGCCAAGTCTACACTTATAAAAAAGGCAAGGTGGATAACAATGAAATCTGCTACAGGTCCACCATAACTGGATCCATGCATTTACTATTTTAGAGATAGACAAAGCACGTATGGCAATTTCCTGAGCACTGTAATTTCAGTTTTCAACTCTACTCAACTCCTTTATTAATAGAACATGTAAAGAAAACAATTAATTTGGTGAAAATATTAACTATCATGTCCCTCTAAAGAAAACAAATCAGCAGCAACATAAAACTGCTTAGATCTGTTATCTTTACTTACAATATGGAGAGACTGTTAAATAACAGACCATAATGATTGTTACAAACAATGCCTTAGGCTTCAAAACAGGCAGATATCAGATTTCATTAATTCATTAACAAGTACTGAAATGACTGCTTTTAGTATTGGCTGTTTGATTGAGTGTTTAACTGGAATTCAACATCATAGCACTCAGGATATATTAAAATTTGTTCTGTTTCTCTCAGTAGACATCGGAGTGCAGATTATCTTGTAGTGCACTGATTCTTAATATGCCTGTGATCATGCCTGCTATTTCCACAAGTGATACTAAATCACAGGTCAATCTCTATTTCATTGAACCTTTGTGTATTTCTGTACCAGCCTGTCTTGGGTGATATATTGTAGGTTTTTTGGGGAGACCATACATAGTGTCCTCTCAATGTGTGCCAATGAGAGTAAGACTAGATAGACTTTTGTCCATCTTCAGTGCCCCTACAGTCAATATCCTTGATAATAGCCTCACCTTTGTCCATCCTGACTGTCCTTACAATGAATGTTCTTGAACTCTGGTATCAAGAGATCTTCAGGACAACCTGTCACTCATTCTGTGTACTATCTGAGACTGCTGTTCGCCCATCTTTGGATTTTATCCTCTCATTTGTATCACTGTCTAGCTCCTGTTTATTTGCCTTCAACAGTTCCCTCCCATATAGTTTCTATAAAAGCGTGTTTTTTAATGTGGTTGAATATTTCATTTGTTTTTCTTATTTTAGAACTGTTCTGAAATGTCCAAAAAAACCTACAAAGGTAGCATCTATCTTCTATAGGCATAGAAGTTAAAGTTAGGTTTAGATCGAATTTAATGTTGAGAGGATCGAACTTCACTGTATTGGGTTGTATCCCACATGGCTTGGTCTCCTTCCGCAGAATAACTAGCCACCCTACTGACAGCATCACACAAAGCACGGACACTGTAGCTCCAGCAATGATCCACAGGAGACTCAATAAAAACTGCCCTTGTAAACCGAATAAAGCAGATGTGAAATGAACCCATGACCAACAGAGTGCAAGTCAACGGCTTGACCATTTTTCCATGAAGACCCTCAAAGACAAAGAAGTGGAATGTTACAGGAAAACTTGCAGTTCTGAAGATGATCACTTAACTTCACGGTCAAATTCTACACCATTTCCTCAGCACTGCATTCTTTGATGCTTTTGCGCCGCACAAGAAAGAAAGAAATTGAGATAAATCAAAAATGGACTTCATGATCACCCATGGTGAGCAGCTAGCCATGATTCTGCACCCCAATGAACATCGGGTCAGCTGTTAAAAGCCCTGAAACCAACACATCTCTCAGGATATTTACCTATATATTGAATGTACAAATTTTGTCTAAACTAGAACTTCTTTTGATTTAATTAAATAAACAAAAGAAACTTCAATGCCTTCAATTTCAAATATACTAAACATGATTTTAAACTTTTAACGTCACAAGCAAGTTAGAGGCACACAAAAAGACATAGTTCTATTATACAACATACTGTCTTTCCTGAGGCCTTTCCAGCTTCTGATATTCAACTTGGATCTGGGGAATTAACTCTGAGGCAAGCTGCTGAAGAAGGAAAGCTGCAACATACTGTGTAGTTGTTGGCTGCTGCCCATCAATCTACCAAATGGAGCATATTATTATGTACATTTTATAATAGTTTTCAAAATATATATTGATGTAAAATATAAAAGTAAAAAGTAAAGGAACTATTTCCACGCCTTCAGGCGTATTGGGCATATAGGGCTGATTCTATATTTTATAGACAAATCGGCACTTGGTGGGGGATGCGGTCAAAATTAGGTCAGCTGCCTTTTTTCTAGGTATACTGGTAATCCTAGTTTCAGCATCATAGCAAACGGGTCACCCCATTGTTGCTCCGCTCCTGTGCCAACAAAAAACACTCGTAGCTCACAGTGTCACACCATGCTAGGTATTTAAGGTCAGGGTGATTATTAAAAGAAATCCAGCTATGTTAAGGACCTGAACCCATAAACTTCTGATCTGCAGGTGAGTGTCTAGCCACTACACCATGACTGCTCCCTGCAATATATAAATAAACCCATCACATCAATAGGTGCCATCTTTGCATTGAAGGCAAGGGAGCCTCTGACACCCCTAATTCATAGAGAATTCATAAAGGCATTTCTATCTCTTGATGTTGTCTATATGCGCATGTAACATTCTGTTTGTCTTGCAAGCCTTCTCTTCGCCTTTTCCTCTAGCATACAACCAGAAGCTGTGTCTGTATTGCCCGAATGTAGCCACAACAGCTATCAACAGCAGGTGCCCCACATAAGAAGGTCTGGTGTGAAAGCAAGAAGGTGCCCAAGGAGAAGATGGGCTGATGACATTAAAGACATTCAACACTGACATAGAATGACAATAGCCAATGCTACCCATCAAGTAATGGATCACAATTTGTCCCTCTACCCCGTTGTTTAACCGCAAAAGTAAAAATTCTTTTGTTTCTTTTTCCTAGAATTCATCAGCTGCAAACCCTGTTGGAAAGTTCAGGTTGTTCATCCACTTCTGTACTTTGGTCTTATACAAGAGCTTATTTAAGTTGCGCATGCACATCAATTTCACAGATGTGGCTTAGTTGTATGCAGACTTTTGGTTCCTCAACTCTCAGGCAGATGCACTCTGACTTCAAAGGAAACACCCCTAAATAGTCACCTTCTATGACAAATTTGCTGGGGAAGGGGGGGTGGGGGTTGTAGGTCTATTCTCCATGCCCCCCTCCCACAAACACCACGCCAATGGAGCCCTGGAAACCACACAGGTAAAAAGTGAAAACTGATTATAGTGATGTGAAGCTGTTTCATCTTATGGAATGTTACTTTGGCAAAACTTGTTCTGTTTCTGAGCCAAAGAATTCAGAAAATACAGGAAAACTGACTAAAAAACAGTTTTCAATGAGATATGTCATGATATTTTCTAAGCCACGTTGCCTAGAATGGTTTCTAGATTACTTTCACATTCTGCTGTTAAAACAGCATATCCCAGAAAACAAAAATATTTTGTCTTTGATCTTTACTTCCACAAGGTGTTCAACGTTTCAGTACAATGCCTTCATTTAAAAGATGGAAGAAAATGCAGGTAATGAATCATTCTCATCTAAATTTCTTTGAAGTGTTTCAAATTTACCAAGGTCCCTTTCACTTCGATGACAGACGCCTAATTTGAATATTTAATCCTTATTAACATGAGATCTTTCCCATTTACATTAAAACTAAAGTCGAGAAGACTGATATGACTGCACTGGATTTTATTCCATATGGTTCTGTCTCTTCCCAGAATGGCTAGCCAGCTGCTGAGTGTCGCATAAAGACAAAACTCCAGCAATGATTCCGAGGGATTCTGTAAAATTGCACTTGTGAACTGAACCGCAGCACATCTCCTGAACTATATGGAATAAATCCCGGTGTGATAAAACCCACTAGAGGTAATTCAGGAAATAGAGTTTCAACATCACAGTAAATGGATCACCCCATAGTTGCTTATTCATGTGTCAATGAAAACAACATAGAATGTTCACTACTCTCCCTTGTGAAAACAGGTTGACACTGAACTACTTTTTCCCCTTTTCTCTACTCCTGGAAAGCCTTGCAGGAAAAATCTCTGGAACGGGCCCTTCTGTTTGCTTAATATATAGCACTTTTCAGTGTCTCTGTATTTCTGTGGTCCATCTTCTGCATGGTCGACCTCTGGTTCTGTTACCACTGTGTTTGTATAACATTGCTCTCTGTAGTGCCCTGTCTGGTGCCAATCTTGTTACATGGCCAAACCACTTGATCTGTTGTCTACCAATAGAGTTCAGTTTTGGTCCTGTACTGACTCTCCTCATGATATCATTGTTCCTAAGTCGACCTTTCCTTGTTACCCCTAGCATAATAGGTAAACATTTCAGTTCTATCATGACTATTTACCTTCTGTTTTCTGAAGACAGTGTCCAGACTATAGTTTCAGCAAACTCATTAGCATTCATATGCATTCCCAATTGTCAAAAACTGTTAAAGAGCTTTTACAGCATATAAATATATCTATAAAAATAAAAATGTTTGTTCGTTTGTTCCTAATCACTAATCTCCGAAAGTTCTTTACCGACTTCTACAAAATTTTTACATAAATTTGCATTTGACTATGCTCATGTTTTTATTTACCTAATATTATATGAAGTCACACCTGTGACAGGTAAAACACATGCTTTTACCTTTCTAAGCTAGCCACCATATGATGTAGACCTCTGATCTTAAAATAGCCCCTACGGCACTTTGACCCTTGACACCCAAGGATGTGACTTGGGGAAAAATATCAAACCGGAACTGTTCCACTTACAATAAAACTGTCAGTAACAGTCGGTGGATTGGGGGTGAGGGGGGTGGGAGGTGGTGATGACATAAACTGTTAAGTGAAACAGCTTTTTTAATTATTTATATTTTAAATAGGCTACCTCAACTATTCTCTCTTTTTTTCTTCTTCCGAATTTGTTGGTTATTCAGAAAGTACAGTGGTAAGCTTCAATTTCAGTAGCTTAAAAAATACCAAAAGCTTTAGCATGTAATAAACAATTCAACTATTTTTGGGGGGCTGTTAATAATACAATTTAAATGACCGTTAACATAAAAATATCAAGATAAAATTATATGTTGCGTGTTCAAGAGTCGGCAAACCAGACTATCTCTATATCTGCAGACATTGATTGTAAAATTAACCATATAGGACATGTGCACTTTCTATTTTCTTTCTTTTCCATTTAGCCAGACTGAGCCACAGCAACACGCGGCAGGGTACAGCTAGTATATATATATATGAATCACATTGGGCCCTATATCTTCTCAAAGTTTTCTTATCGAGTGAAGTTGCTTTTCTATAAGAATAAAGAAGCAAATATATCATATTTGCAAGACTACACACATTTTACAACTACACACATTTTACCACTCACTGTGAATTTAGCAAATGCTTCCTCAATTTTCAGTAAAAAGTCCTGAAATCTCTTAAATAAGTTTTGTTTTTCTCTGTAATCCATTAGGATATTTTGACCTGAAAATAAAATATGTTACTACAGTTCAATTTTCTTGTGCAAGATGTGCATATTTAATAATGGCCTCTGACGCTAACAAGACTGTGTGAACCAGAAATAAAGCTTTGTAATTTCCTTTTATACCATCTTCAAGGAGATATAAGCAACTTATCATGGGGAAAAAATCAGTAGAGGTAGCTTGGAGTAGCTGCTGCATCAGAGGACATGTCGATCGTGATAACATAACGTTTAATAATGACCTATGAGGCTAACAAGACTGTGTGAACCAGAAATAAAGCTTTGTGATTCCCTTTTATACCATCTTCAAGGAGATATAAGCAACTACACATGGGATAAAATCAGTAGAGGTAACTTGGAGTGGTTTCTGCATCAGAGGACATGTTGATTGTGATAACATAACATTTCATAATGGCCTCTGAGGCTAGCAAGACTGTGTGAACCAGAAATAAAAGTTTGTTATTCCCTTCTTTACCATCTTCAAGGAGATATTATAAACAACTTCACATGGGAGAAAATCAGTAGAGGAAACTTGGAGTCATTTCTACATCAGAGGATCAATCAGAGGACATGTCGATTGTGATAACATAACATAACATTTAATAATGGCCACACATGTGATTTGAAAAAAAATAAATCGTGCTTTCTACTGGCTGCTAACGTACAGCATTAGTAAGATTTCATCCTTTGCTAATGTTGTTAGTTCCATCATTAAGGGTAGTTTGCTTCCAATATGTAATGTTTCATAAAACTACTACTAACTGATGGCATCCCCCTTCTGTACATTGCTTATTTTTGTTATATTTGGACAGTGTGTGATAATTCCAAGACGTCTGGTTCCTTGTCAATTCCATATGTAGGCAATTAGGTGGCAGATGACTTTTGTTGATTTTAAGAATGGTATCAAGAGCCGACCGTTCAGTAAAGCAATGGCAAATTATTGAATCTAAAATTGCCTAAAACCAAACAGCCAAGAAAATGATAGGGTCGGTTCTGCAATGTACTGTAAAGGTTAGGTAAGTAACTATAACAGTCTTTAGTCTGACTTCTCTACAGGATTTATTGGAATCATCCTGTTTGTTATAGATCTACACACAATAAAAGAGCTACTATTTAAAGATAATCAGTGCCCCCTTCTACAACAAGGGGAGAAGACTACAATAAGATGTGAACAGGGTAAGTGTAATAAGCAGGATATATCAGATGAAAGTAAATACGACTAAAACTGAAGTAATGCTGGTCAGTAGAATTCTATTCCTTTTGAGAAAAAAATGAAAAAGTCGACCACTTTCAGACTGCTGCTAGCTAGCCAAGGCAGCTAACAGTCTCCGCCTATATTTGTGGTCTGGGTTATTTGCATCACTTTCGTGACTACATTTCTGTTATTTGCACCTTCTCTGGGGTTCAGCAGAATACCTAGTCTGCCACATATCAGGAGAATGGCGCTTGTCTGAAGCAAGTTAAACAATTTTAATATCTAGGAAGTATATTTTATGAGGATTTGAGAATAGACTGGGAAATAGAAACAAGATGCATCCTCCCGAGAGACTCAATGGTCAGCATACAAATAAGTCAGATTTGTAAACAGATATGCACTCAACACTCAGGTTCTGGGACAAGACTAAAGTCTAGAGGTGGATGAACAGCCATAACTTTCCGCTAGAGTTTACAGGCGGTGAATGTGAAGAAGAAGATGAAGTATGTCATGATCTGGATTATGTGCTAGGCACTAGAGCTGTCTTAAGAGAATTATAGGCCCCCTGGGTCAACCAGTGTGCTGGAGTCTCTATGACATCCATTACTGCAAATCAGTTGGCATACACAGATTAGCATTCGGCCCCAATTTTTTGTGGTTCCCCCGGCAAGTGCCCAGTTGGCCCATGCTTCACACTCAATGGCAGTGGCTTTTATAGGACTGCCTTGACCTTTATATATACGCATATCATTTACCTTGTAGTTCTGCATCTTTGATAGCCTTGTCAAAAGCTTGCTCTGTCTCTTCAAGAATCTGATGGACATAATTAACAGAAATATTCAACAACTGGAACAGTAACAATGTACAATCAAAGAGGTAACAGAACATTACATTTTAACAGATAAAGAAAAGGCAGCCATTAAAGCACTAACAATGGCTGGCCAACTTGTTAGAGGATATCATCATCAATATCCTGTTGTGCCATTATATGTCACAGAGGGCTCACAGTCTTTTTCTGCATTCTGTTTTATCCTGTGCAATCCCTTCAATAACATCAATCTGGCAACTCTGCGCTTTCTCACTGATTTACGAATCAACATCATAGCACACCGGGCATACCCATAGATGCTCCGTCTAACACAGCAAATGACGTAAGGTGTAGATGCTAACTGTTCCCCTAGCACACTGATTATATACAAGCCGATCTCTTCCTCTCATCCGTCCCTCCTTGCCAGATCCATACTTAATTCCTCGTTCCCACATTCTTGTCCATGTTATTTCATCTAATCTTGTGTCTTCTGCCAAAAGTCTTTCATATACGGTCTTCAGAATATCTCCCTTGTCCAATATGAGTGTTCCCATAGTTTTCGCTTTTGTAGCCAGAAAATCTGCTCTTTCATTCCCTCGTACACCTGCAATGTTGGGGTACTGATGTATGCTATCCACTTATGCCACATTAGTCCATTTTGAACCTTCCGCAGTGCACCTCTCTCAGTTACAGCATATGCAGAGAGATATATCAGGAATACTTAGCATCAGGAATAACACTGCATTAGGCGAACAGTGGTTCCAATGTGTGATCTCAGGCACCATTTTGGAGAAAATAAAAGAATAGACTCCCAGCCCCCCTAGAGGTGACTAGTTTGGGTTTAGCTTAAATCGGATCTGTTGGGCCAAAAGGTGCAAATATCACAGCCTAGCTGTAAACCCAGAACAATGTGCCAACTGTCTTTATAAGGGTGAACACAGGAAGAAGCAGAAGCTGCTGCTTAATCAAACTTCATAACTTTTTGAGAATGCTGCCTTTATGACTCTCATTAATGGATCTTTGTGCTGTAAGATATGATCAAGTCACAGTTGTCTGATCCTCTGCATTTCTGTACACTTTTATCTTTCAGGATATTACTATCTGCCCCCCCCCCCCCCCCCCCCCCCCCAACTATAGCTTATACTCTTTATTATAATATCTTCCCCATATGGGTTTCAGGGCCCTATTTTGAGGGGGAGGGGGGAATATCGACCCACTGCCTCTCCGCCCTCCACCTAACAAGCAGGTCGGAAAAAGTGACTGATCAGTGCTGGCTGTTTACTTCAAAGTCGAGTGCATCTGCTTAAGAGGTGATGAGCCAACAGTGTGTATAAAGATAAGTCAGATCTGTAAAATGAATGTGCATGGTAAACCCAAGTTCTGGACAAGGCCAAAGTCAGGAAGTAGATAAACAACCAGGTTTTTTTTCACTAGAGTTTACAGCCGGTGAACATTAAGAAGATTATAATATCTTGAATGCCTGTAGCTACTTCTCATAATTTAGGTTGATGGTCCATTTCAAAGCTACACCAGCTAAAGAACTTTATGCATTTCTGGTTTTTTTTCCTGTATAAGCTTAACATGCCAGGTAAACCTGTGAAAGTAATGTATTATTTGTAGTAATATTAATGGGTAATATTTAATAATGAAAGTGAATGGATTAAAAATAAGTATGTATTATTACTAGCAAGTAGTTTTATATATTCACAATTATGCCTGTGACATATACATTTTAAACAATTCACTTTTATGTTTAAACTGAATTGCAATGAACAAATTTAAATGTACACTTACTTTGCATTTTCTGGCATTAAGTTCTCTGTCTGTATCATTAACATGCTGGCTGAGCCGTTTTTCATCATTTTCTGTTCTGTCTACATTCTGTCTTGATGCATCTATTAGCATTTGTAATTTATCTTTCAAAGTAGTCAATGATTTGGTGATAAACTCCTGGCCACACGTGCTTATGTCGTCACATTCATGTAACTTGTGCTTACCTTGAGAACCAAATATAGTTCAAGGTTATAACCATGAAAGTTTAAAACAATACTAATGTTTATATGTTTATTTGACAGACACACAAAAATCATGTACAAAAATTAAGAATCATAAATCTTCTTCTTCTTCTCTTCCACCTTGTACCTCATCGAAGTGTCAGGGGGAAATGTAATGTTCGTTTATGAGCTTTGTCAAGAGCACTATTAAGACTGATGTTCATTTCTGTAAGGCTGTTCTTAATGCCATCACTCTTATCTTTTCCGAGGTCTTCCACTCGCTCTATACCCGTTGTAACGTTTTAGTGTGGCTCGCTGTGGCGGATAGTACCAGGGCATTCTTGTTAGGTGTACAAACCACTTTATTTGTTGTTCTTTGATGACCTGTAAGACTGGCTTTATTCCTAGCATTCGTCTGATTTCATGATTTCGTATTCTGTCTTTCCTTGAAACTCCTGCAGCTCTTCTAAGGCATTTCATCTCTGTTGTCACAATTTTAAGTTCATTGGAGGATGTAAGTGTCCACGTTTGGCATTGATAGCATAGTGTTGGCCAAAAAATAGTTCTGATAAGATTCACTTTAGTACTCTGAGGTATCTGCTTGTGTGTCAACAGGGGAGATAGTTGACCCATTACTTGATTAGCGTTGGCACATCTGGAGCTAATTTCTCTGTCCAGTTTTCCGTCGGATGTAAAAATTGCTCCTAAATACTTAAATTCCTCTGTTTGTCTCAGGGTATTGTTTTTTAATTTAATTTCTAAATAGTCTTTATGTCTTCCTATCATCATTGTCTCTGTCTTCGTAGGTTTATTTTCATATTATATTCTTTACCTTTGTTACTAATTTGATTTAGGTGATTCTGTAGGCATTCCGTACTTTCTGCTATGAGTACCTGGTCGTCGGCGAAAAGTAATTCTGTAATATCTTCTTCATGATTAAAGTTCGTTTCGCTACATATGGGATCCATTTATGTTATAAAAAGAAGCGGCGATAGTACACAGCCCTGATGCACACCAGAGTTCACTATAAAAGTTCTTGACAACCCTGCCTTCGATCTTATGCAGCATTTATTACATGTGTACAGGCTTAAGAATCATTAATGATTTACATAAAAATATAAAGACAATAACATTAGTTATCAACAAAAATAATGACAAAGAAGGTGCAAGTAATGTTTTAAACTGCAGAAAGAGAGTAACTTTCCTTCCCATTCATGCCTTGTTGAGTCGCAGGGCCTCTCCTATGTTGCAGGGGTGTCATGTATTCTTTATTGTCAATGCTTTAACCGCTCTCTCTTTTCTCATCTTCTCAATGCTCACTTGAGTTATTATTTTTACGTTTTGCTACCTACACGACGGTTCAAAAGTATGGAAACTGCAATATTTTTCAATTTCTACATTCCTTGTCAGTGCCTTCTTTGTCTCGAGTGAGGGTCGGGGAGGGGGGGGGGGGGGAATACAAAAACACCCCAGTTTTCATACTCCCAACCACCCTTGGCTGTGTTGTGAAGTAGAAGAAGTGCATGGCAGTTCAATGCAAAATCAAATGGATGACTTTTAGTACAACAAAGTCTAGCATATGATACTACACCATCTAGTCATGGCAGCTTTCTGCTGTTTTGAGAACCATGGCCAGTAGTTCTTTTACTGATGAAGCTGTTATCTAGGTGATTTAGATCTAATGACTGTGACTGTGTGTATGATCTCTGCAGCAATATTGTTTCACTGGACAGATGACAAATATAAATAATGAATAGTCTCATCAGATGCTTTTTTAGACAAAACAACCTGAAATTTAGCGTTACTCACCTTTTAAACTGCAGTCTCCACAAACTGGAATCCAACATTGTTTACAGAAGTACTTTAACTCCTTGTCAACATGGCCTTCCTGTTCACAGTCACTGACAGTGGCCTGATAGCTAAGGAGTTGCTGCAATTTCTCCACATGTTGGCAGCTTGTGTGACTGCACACGGGGCAACGAAGTGTATCCACCGTGGTGTTCTGAGGATGAACCTCTTCTCGGGCAGCTGCAGCAGCATCCTGGACATCATCACGCTGTTCCCAAATTCTATTTCTCAAGGCCTGGGGTTGTGTTAACAGGTGGATTGTATGGTCTTTCAAGTGAGACAGGCGGCAAGAGCCACACAGATTTTGACCACAGTTAAAACAAAACCACTTTGCAATGCCATGTTGTTGTGAGTTGTCACAAAACATGATCTCTCCAGACACGTGTTCTACACCTGAGATCAGCTGCAGGATCTCAGGTCTGGCATTCTCTGAACGACACTTAGGGCAACAGATCTTGTATGCCGTGGCTATTTTATTTTCACATTCAAGGCACAAAATATGAAGGCAGACAGGTAACTGAACAGGTTTCTCTACTGGATTAGAGCAGTGGACACATTTTACATCTTTCCAAAAAGAGTCTGCCATTGTCATGATGTATTCTAGCAACAAGAAAAATAAATCCAATCAGAATATTCCTAATTCACAATTATGTTTAAGTTTTTGGAATGCTATGATGGACTTTGGAATACTGAGGAAGTTAATCACCATGACCAAACTATGTATGGAAAACACTTAAAGTATAATAACATTTAAAGGCAGAAAAGTCAGACCAGTTTTAAATAACATCTGGTTTAAAGCAAGGCGTTGATCTGTTCCCAGTTCTTTTCAACCTGGTCCTAAAGAAAATTACAAGGAAACTGAAATAAGATTGTACTATAGGAGAAACTACAAGAATACTTGGTTATGCAGATGACATTGATATCATTGGAGAAAATGAAGTAGAGACGGTAAAAACGCTGACACTCTTAAAGAAAGCAGCTCAGAAAATGGGACTAGTTACCAATCGAGATAAAACAGAATACATGGAAATAACAAGACAGGGAAGGGATAATAACTCTGACCACATGCAAACCGATAATACAAAAATCTTTTCTTAAACGCATTGCACAGCTTAAATTTAATAACTGACCAGGCTCACGACCTAGTTTAAACAGAGTACAAGGAAATGTCTTGGAAGGTTAAAATGGCCTGCATACTTTAGTACTTTATTTTCAAAATCTTCTTGAGTATGTTTTCTTTTTGCATTGATTTAACCAAAGCATGTTATATACTCTGTAGAAGGTACATGAAATGAATATTGTTTAATATCTATAGGGCAATTCTGGTCTCCTGCACAGTGATAGTGACGCCAGTTTTGTAATTACCGTTAGCACACAATATGTGAACATAAATTATAAATGTTTTCTTTAAAAGAAAAATCAATCAGGTAGTTAATGAGTCCTCCTATCTTTCTTCTTCTTTCTATGACTGCTAATCAATACACTGTCCCTTTACTTGTTATATACACTATCAGTTTGTTTAAGGTAATGCATGTTTTTCACAGTTGTGTTTATAACCTATGTCTTACTTAACCCAGGTCTATTCAACTAGCGGCCTGCAGGGCAAATCTGACCGGCAAAAGGCCTATAAAGTGGCCTATGGGTTGTTGCCAGCTGTATTGTATTAACCCTACCAGACCTGAGGCCCTGAACCTAACTCTCCCTTATACCTGAGCTCCTGGGCATTAACGCGAAAAAACCAACATGATATACACAAATATTAGTTACATGCAAACAAGTGGCTAGAATAAGATGAAACTTGGAGACATTGTAGAAAATAGACTTAAGCTTTTATCTAGCTGAATGTGTCACTTCAACTGTGAACGTATTCTTCATGAAATAATTACCCTGCAGAGTCTGAATAAACCACCAAAGTATCGATCACCTGTTGGACTGTGAAAAGCCTAGGCCTACTTTAATTTCCTGTCGAAGTGCTTGGTTCATCAGTCGCTCATTTTATTGTGAATTTTCAGAATTTGTTCACGTAAAGAACACAAATTTAATCCAAACACATACAGGCGGACATCTAGGAAGACTATCAACGAGATCTGATTATGATTGGCTAGTTATTTTTAGTCCGCGATTCATTTTTTCCCGTACTAAACAAATTACCGAAAATTAGGGCCAGCGGTACAGCGCCAGGTTAAGAAATTTCTGGAAAATCAGGCCAGCGGTCTGGTAGGGTTAATGATCTTTCTATGCTTGGGGGTTCCTGCATTAAAAAAAAAAAAAACGTTTATTGGTTGAAAACAATGTTTACAATATTTGATATACATTTACAGAAGCAAAAATATTAAAATGGTAATAATAAAATGGTTAAAAAGATGGTTATGACTGGTACCCTCATTCCACCAAAAAAAAAGGAGAAAAAAGGACGGGATGAGGAAAGCAAAGGCTACCCCTAATTTTTGCTTGTGGTGTTGGTATCCTGACAAGTTCAGTTACTAATGATGATTATAATGATGATGAGATTGACAATTTTTAAATTTCCATCATATGTACATTTTATATACACACAACAAATCGGAACCCTTTTTTCAGAAAGTATCAGCACTATTCTTTTAAATTTCCAGTCTCCACCTTTACATTGGAAGATTGGCTAATAAACAATATCCTTTCTCGAAAGCTGAAATATTTTGGTCATATCAAGCGCCACGACGGATTGGAAAAAAATATAGCAGAAGGCATGGTACCAGGAAGGAGGGGCAGAGGCCGACCGACACGAAGATTGGCACAGGATATAAGTGACTCCTTGAGTGTGAAAGTTCATGAGGCGGGGGAACTGGCAAGAGACCGAGTTTCTTACAGGCAGACTGTGATGAGAGCGACGTTCTGCAAAGGACCTGCTACATGATGATGATGACCTTTACATTTGCATTGTTCTGCTGTAATGCGACGTCACTAACGCGCTCTACTACTGCCTACTGCGTTATTAAGTCGCCGATCAGTCTGACAATTTCCGATTTCCGATTACAGGGCGACTTCAGTCGAATGTAGATATTACAATGTTCACAAGTTTAAGCGATGAAAGTTTCGTTACTCTTCAGACATAGTTTGGCGAGTATTTGAAAGTAGAGCCCAAACTTTTGGCGCTTGAGTAAACCAAACTTTAGTTGAATAGCCCTGTCTTAACCGTTCCAGTTCCTGAAGAAACGACAACAGCATTTGGGGCACTACAACGTATGCTCTGCTTCCCTTGGGGAATTAATATGTACAAATAGAATTTTAAAGATACCTGTGTAGATTTAGCGTCCCCTTGAATAATGGGGAAAAAGTAGTGGTTAATACTTACAAGACGATATCGTCACCCGGAAGAATAATAAACTTCAGCTCCTCTTCTGCAGTGTTGCCACTTTTCTTTGACAAAAAATAGCCAAAACGGTGTCAAAAAATATCTAAAAAGATCTAAATCTGCGTGGAAAAGATCTAGAAAAAACATCCAAATTGAAAAAGTCAAAAATTACATAGCTTTTGTTATGACTTACCCTACATAATTATGTCCTCAACTTCACTGATGTCTGCCTCACAAGATCCACAGGATAAACTTAGCTTGAATAATGAAGTTGAAGCTTCAGATCCAAAATGACCCTGGTATGCTTTAGCTGTTCAAATTTCTGTATAAGTGGAACAGTAGGCTTATTTCTCTAGTCTCATCAGGCCGAATTTTAATGGCACGATAGCATTTAAGTGGTCAAATTTTATCCTGTTTTTCAGGTTATATATAATATAATTCCTAGCACTAAAAACTCTTTCTACGTCAGCATTTGAATGGGGTAGTATCATGGCAGACATGGCACTTTTAAAGAGCTTAAAGAATGGACTGTTTGATGAGGCATCTTTAAATGTTCTCACTTTAGTTTCTGTTTTGTTTGTCCATTCAGCTAACTTTATTTTGGTTAACTGATATTCTGCTTCCGCGACACTATTATCAGTAGCCACTAAAAATTTCATAACTTTACAATATTTAGGTATGTCCTTTACTGGCTGAAGTAGGTTGCTCACAGAAAAAATTGAAATATTTTTCAAAACATCTAGATTTTCATGAAGTCTCTGCTTCAATAATGAGATAAGGAAATCTTGACAGCGTTTTCTTAAGTTGTTCTCTTCATTGTCTGTTTAACAGTCCTTTTGTTTTTAAATCATCAATTTTTGATTCGATTTAATATCCAAGGTGTGGCTTAGGAGCCAAATAGCTCTCTATAGTGCAAGTGAGCAAAATGAGCTTTAGAAGTTGGCAACACCAGTCTTTTACCGAGTGAAATAGCAATGTGAGATCATCAAGTAATTTAACTTTATCAACAAGTTTAGATTCGGACAGTTTATTAACTTTTTGCACTTCCATTAGAATAGGGTATAAAAAGAGAATGAATGACAAATTGTTTTTATCACTGTACATTCCATATAGTATTTCAGCTGTGTAGCACTTTTCACTTTGTCTTGTTATTTTCAAAGTGTGTCTTCAACTTCAGCCATTGCTTCATAATTCTTTCAACAGCTCGTTAAATTGATAACCATCTAGTTTTGCAATCTGACAGAATTTTCGGTGGTGTGGAACCATCATTCAAGGCTGTATATAATGTATTGTATTGCTGTTGTCTGACAAATGATTTGGAAAACCAGTAAAGTGTTTCAGCAATAAGGTATTCCAAATTCCTTGGTAAATATTTAGATGAAGCATGTGATAATGCTAGCTGCAATGAATGACGCATACATTTTATAAGTATTAACGATGGGTTAGCTTCCTTCAACTTGGCATAAACGCCATTGTTTATACCAACCATCACTGAGACATTATCAGTACCAATTACAGCCAAATTCTTCAAGCCTAACTGTTTGATGATTAAAAGATCCTTCAGTTCCTAAACTATACTTTCTACACCACACTTTTCAAATTGAACTAGTCCAAGATTTTTTACAAATCGATCAAAAATGGTCACAGTTTGAAATTGCGCAGTGACAAATTAAAAACATTGCGACTGATACTTCAACTTTTGATGATTCATTTATCAGTATAGTTCTGAAAACAGATGTCAGCGGTGTAATATCTTTAAATGAAACTGCAGTTTTATGTTTTTTTAGTCTCTGCATGACTCTTTGAGTTTTGTATTTTCGCTTTAAATTTCACACTTGCAGTACTTACAACAAGCTTTGGTCATATCCCCAGTTTTTAATTTTGTCATCATGCAACCACTCTTTCAAAATTGTTTGCTCATACTTTACTTTTGGCATGTTGAAAGGTTGTTTTTTCAAAGTGAAAAGCCACATAAGAAGGTGAGCAATTATTTTTTTTAAAACACATGAAAAAGAAAAACGCAAAGTCAGCACCGTGAGGATACGGTTGAAACAAAGTTAGTATGATTTACGCGCGTTTTTATTAATCAGTACCGGGGCTGCCAGATATTTGTGTGTTGACCCCCAGTGAGAGTTCAAAGTTCAAGTAATGGCAGTTGTCACAATGTACGTGCCAGAACAAAGCAAAAATATTGTAGTAAATATTTTAAACAGTAATTATTAAATTGACAATGAAAGAAAAAAAAAATCTTTAAAATATCT